AAACTACAAAGCTAAATTAAATATATCAGATATAAGAAATTAACTTAGAAGTATTTTTAAGCTATCACATCTTCCCTCCCTTAAAAAGAAATTTGGTCTTCCAAATTGGACTTACCAATAGTCATAAACAGACTGGGTATATGGCTTCTTTAGTCGAATGGTGTTGTTATAATACCTTTACTAAGGAGATTACCTTGGACCGTAATATCCTTTTTTTGTGATCCACTATCTGTACAGGAAGCTCAATATAAGATAAGTTATCTTAAAGTGTAAAAGGTTCATCTCGAAATACATACAATGGATCTGAATGATATTTCTTCAACATCGATACGTGGAAGACATTGTGTATGTTGGCTAACTTAGATGGCAATGTTAAATGGTAGGCGACAGCTCCCACTTTATCCAATATCTCAAAAGATCCAGTAAATCGAAGATTGAGTTTTTCTTTCTTCCCAAATCTCATAACCTCTTTAATTTGTGAAGTTTTCAAAAATACATGGTCGCCTACTTCAAATTTTAAATCTCTTCTTCGATTGTTAGCATAACTTTTCTGCTTATTTTCAGCTGTCATAAGATGTCTTCGGATCAATTTCACTTTCTCTGTAGTTTCTTCTATTAATTTAGGTTTAACCAATTTTTTTTCTCCAACTTCATCCTAACAAATAGGTGATCTGCAGGGTCTTCCATACAAAGCTTCATAGGGTGCCATTTGAATGCTGGACTGATTATCATTGTTATACGCGAACTCAATCAGAGGTAAATAATCGTTCCAATCACCTCACAACTAAATGACACAGACTCATAGCATATCTTCTAGAGTTTGAATTGTCTATTCTGATTGACCATCTATTTGAGGATGGAAATCCGTACAAAAGGATAGCTTGGTCCCCATAGCATTCTGTAGATCGGTCCAAAATCTTGAAGTAAAGCGGGAATCTTGGTCGGAGACGATTGTGATTGGAATTCCATACAATCTTACAATCTCCTTGATATAAAGCCTGACCAACTTTTCCAGCGAGTCATTTATTTTGATAGCCAAAAAATAAGTAGACTTGGTTAATCTATCAACGATAACCCATATAGCATCATGTTAGAATCTTGTTTTAGGTAGACCCACCGCGAAATCCATAGTAATATATTCTTATTTCCACTCTGCTACCGACAAGGATTGAAGTAGTCCTGCTGGTATCTAACGTTCAGCCTTTATTTGTTGGCATATTAGACATTTAAAAACAAACTCTGCTATATCCTTCTTCATCCCACTCCATTGATATCTGATCCTCAAGTTTTGATACATCTTAGTGTTGGCAGCGTACAGAGCAAATCTAGAGTAGTGCGCTTCTTCAAATATCTCATTTTTCATACTATTATTATTTTAGTACACATACTCTGTTTCCAAACCTCAATACACCATCTTCCAATAGTCTGAATTCTGGTCTAAGTCCCTTACTAACATATTCCATAATCGACTTCAATGTAAGATCAGTCTGCTGAGCTTCTATAATTTTTTATATCAAAATGGGTTGTAGTTTTATATTAGTTAGGTATCTTCTTGATCTCTTATGTCGGACATTCAGATTCAAATTTTTGAACTCCTCTATAAGTCTCCACTTTGAGGCCATTATGTAGGTAATAGTATAAGTACTCTTCCTACTAAGTGCATCTGCAACCATATTGTCTTTACCCGGATGGTATAGGATCTAGTAATCATAATCCTTAAGAAATTTCATCAATATCCTTTTGGCGCATATTAAGTTCTTTTTGCAAGAACAAATACTTCAAACTCTTGTGGTTCATGTGAATCTTGAAACTTTCAGCATATAGATAATGACACCAGATCTTTAAGGCAAAAATTGTGGCGACTAGTTCTAAGTCATTGGTATGATAGTTATGCTCATGATTTTTTAATTTTCTAGAACCATAAGCTATCATTTTTTGGTATTGCATTAACACGCATCCCAACGCTTATTTTGAAGCATCACTGTAGATAGAAAATCCACTAGTACCATTAAGAATTGTCAATACTGGAGCTGTTGTCAACCGTTTCTTTAGTTTTTGAAAACTTTGTTCACATTTATCATTTCACTCAAACTTTGTATCATTCTAGTGAGATGAGTTAGTGGAGTAGCAATCTTTGAAAAAATTTCAATAAACTTCCTGTAATATCCAGCTAGATCGGGAAAACTTCAGACTTCAATTACTATTGTAGGCCTTTTCTAGTTTATTACTGCGTCTACTTTAACTAGATCTACTAATATCTCGTCCTTTGAAACTATATGTCCAAGGAAGACAACCTCATTTAACCAAAACTCACACTTCTTAAACTAGGCATACAACTTATGTTTCCTAAGTATCCCAAGCATTATGGCCAAATGCTCCGCATGTAAATTAATTAGTATATCATCAATGAAGACGATGACAAACTTATCCAATAATGATTGAAAGACTTTGTTCATCAAATCTTTAAATGCTGTAGAGCATTTGTTAGACCAAAATGCATGACTAAGAATTCGTAACAGCCATACCTGCTCTGAAACAGTCTTAGATATCCTTTTTCTAATTTTAGTTGATGATATCCAGAACGTAGATCATCTTTGAAATACTTAGAATCCTTGA